TCGGCCTGTCGATGATGATGTTATACGACATGTTGGCCTCAATGAGGAGGTATCTGACCATGATCCTCCTTGAGTTAGGGGGTTCCCGAAGGTTGTCAGCAGGTCTATGTATCCTCGAGTGTGGACTCGTTCTCTTGCAAAATCGACTAGGGGTTCTGTGTGAGGTTGGCTGAGGGAGTGAGGGATATCTAACCTTAGGAATGTCGGCCAGTATAGGACGTCAGCCGAGCTTCCCTAGTCGATCAACGTCTTGTGGACCTCCTAGTTAGCTACTTCCACCGCGATGACCATGGGGTCGTCCTGGTTTGGGCAAATGCTAGTGTAGTCGTCATCCGTGAAGGTGATGGGTGGTGTGTTGCGGTGCGGGGCTGAGGTGTCAGTATGGACATTGTTGATGCTCCATAAGTGTCTTTTACGTGCTGAGCTACTAGATCCTCCCCCTACGAAGCCACCTGCAATTGTATTGATGACTCCACGTAAAGGAGTCGTTCCTGTATCATGACTTACCTCGGCCGGCACTGCCCCGCCTGTGTTTTGTTGAGATCTAGAGGGTTGATCTGTGCGAGTTCCGGAACCTCGGCCTCGTCCTCGTCCTCGTCCATAGTAGTCTGCATTGTGAGATTGTTGCCGTTGGACGTATTGTTCGAGGTGACCTCCTTGGATGAGTTCCTCAATGCGGTCTTTGAGTGTACGGAATTCCTCGGTTGTGTGACCATAGTTTCTATGGTATCGACAATGCTTGGATTTGTCCGCGCTACTGGGGCTGTGTCCAGGAGGTGGTAGAGTAATCAGGTTGGTATTGCTAGCTTCTTCTAGGATGTGTACTCGGGGTGCGTTCAAAGGGGTGTAGAAGTCATACCACCCTCTTTTGTTCACCCTATCCTTCTTGAATTGGCTATCGTTAGTGACTTTTACCTTATCTTTGTGGCCATGGTCTGGTTTTCCCTGTGGTTTCCCACGAACTTGGTCACAAAAAGTAGTGTGTTCTTCCATATGAATGTACCCCGCAGCTCAGGCACGAAGTTCGTCCATGTCCGGGGGAGGTCGCCAACAAAGGCTATCAACAAAAGGGCTTGAGCACCATGAGCATGGCGTGTAGGGCGACCTCGGGGTTGAGGTTGCAGATCTTGACGGAGATGTCGACAAAGCGCTCCATGAATGTCCTCAATGGTTCGTCGTCGCCCTGTCTAAGGCTGGCCAAGGCGGTGGACGTGATGTGATGTGGTCGACTCGTTGCGTACTACGTTGTGAATCGCCTCACCAGAGTGTCGAAGCTATCAACTGATCCCACTGGCAATTGAGTATACCAGGCGAGTGCCGATCCCTTGAGCGAGGTCGGAAAAACTTTACACAAGATAGCATCATCGTTAGTGTATAGGTTTACCTGCGTGACGTACAGGTCGACGTTCTCATCCGGGTCAGTAGTGCCATCATAGCGGTCGATGTTGAGGGGCTTCCATCCGAAAGGGAAGGGCGTCTCGATGATGCCGTCAACAAAAGGATGATGGCGGATGCCCGCCCTATGTCTTGGAGCCTGGGCGGGTGCATTGCTGACTTCGTGGTCTGACTTGTGCGTCGGTACATGTGACCGATGCACAGTAGACCTATGGGTCGCCGCCTTGGGTGCAGTCGGTGGCTAGGAGACCAAGTGCCCTTCTTCCTCGTGTTGATTGCTTGGTTGAGGGGGCTAATCAGGGAGGCGTTGTGGAAGCTGGGCGCGGATGCGCTCATTCTCAACTCGTAGCACCGCTAGGTCAGCTTCGTGTCGGGCACGCATGTTCTCCAGGTCAGTAGCATGTTGTTGTCGCATTTGATCGACCTCCTTGATCAGCCGTCTCAATGTCGCTTCTCCGTCCATTCTTGGTGCGTGATCTTTGTTGTCTGTTGCTCGTCTACTATGGCTTCAGGTGCAAACCATAACCGTGGCCGATAAGAGATGTCTTGATCGGCCCCACGGTGGGCGTCAAATGTTCTTACCGAAGATCGGTCAAAGGGGGACGATCTGCTAGGCAAGATTGGTGAGCCTCCTTCGTTGGGTACGTTGGGTGCTTCGAATTGGGAGTGGTACCTGCAAAAGAGACTCCGATGCTAAAGTTAGTCTTTGTGGGTGTATGGGTCTCGTATATGTAATGCACATACCTTAGTGTGAATTAGGGTTTATCTGGGCCTTAGGCCTGAGGTCGGTTATGATCTGTTTAGATAGTGGGCCTTTGTTTTGGCTGATGTCTTGTAGCGCTCATCCGATGTCGTTTAGCGCTTCAGTGCCAAGCTCAAGCTCGGTTCCGCGATACGGATAGTATATATATATATATATATATATATATAAAGGGAGACATCTGTTTATTTCAGGAGTAAGTTTATCTAGACTTATAAACTTACTCTGTTCAATAACTCATGTTTTATATTAAATTTCAAAGATCCAACCGTTGAATTTAAAGTTCTTAATGCATAAATCAAGTTTATAAATTTTAAAAATTTTAAAAATTATTTAATGTTTCATTTCATTAATTAATTCAAATTGACGGATAATTATAAAATCATTTCATACATTGATTTGAATTAATGAAATGAAATATCAAATAATTTTTTTTAAATTTGTATATTTGATCTATGCATTAGGAACTTCAAATTTAACGGTTGGATAATTAAAATATAAAAATGGCTACCAAAAAAAGTTGAAGTGTCAATTAACACTTTCCATTTCATTTTATATATATGATCAATTGGTATAGAGAAATTTTGCTATCTCCTATTTGTGCTTATAAGAACCACATTAAAAATCTTGAGAATGACACGTTAACAAGGGGTAAGGTGGACCACAAACTTGATCTCTCTATATATTCGTTTATAGCACTCCCAGAAGTTTGTTGACCCTTCATTCTTGTGATATCAAGAGAAAAGTAGGTCGGAACATGATTAGCAAACCAAGCACCAATTCATTCAACATAGTAATAATAAATTTTTCCACTTGCGTCCCTGTCTCCCTTAGTATGTATTCAAATTCTACAAAAAAAGTTTTTTACTCATTTTAGTTAATTTTATTCTATAGAACCCGATAAGTTCTGATCACAGTGAGGAACTTGAAAATGGGATCGAAGGTATAATAAAACATTAGGGCAACGCTTGAATCTATACTGAGTCACTGATCTTTTCTCTTATAACATGTGAGCTAGATGATAACTTGGTTAAACTAGTTTCTGTCATATTTGGAAGGCTATTCGATACACTACGGTTACATAATAATGATTCGTAGGTACTCAACTACCTCACTTTTAACATTATTAATACCGGGAAAAACAAGTTCTACATATTTATTTTAAAATAAAAATAGAAATATAGAATAGATGTGGTTTATAACTAGAGGGTGAGTTAAGAATAAGACTTCTACTAATATTTTAGCTTGTATATTATATAAAATAAATATTTATTATATATATATATATATTTCACAAATTACTCACCCTCTAGCTATAAACCATATATATATATATATGAAAGTGAAAGAAAAAGAGAATAATGAGTAATTTAAGTTTGTCTTAATGATAGTAAAGAGGAGTGGGCGTGGACGACTTACATTGGAAAGATATTTAAGAATGGGAGAATAATAAGTAAAGGATAAATAAGTCTATTTAAAAGTGAAAAATAAAATGATTATAATAAAAAATCATTCTCTTTATATAAAAGTATTCATAATTCTATATTTTTAAAAGAGAATCCAGAATGCGGCACACAGTTATTAAAAGGTACAGAGAATTCTATACGCGGTATATAGTTATTGAGAGAATGATAATGTTAAAAATCCACCTTATTTTAAGATATAAAAAATAAAAAATTATTATGTGATTTTAAATAATATGATTCCTAATTAGTCCCTGCATGACATATAATCAAATATTATTAATTTTTTGTAATAAGTTAAAAAAATTAAGCCTTTTTGTCTTATGATAATTGGTTGGAATTACAGACACTTAATAGTTTTAAAATATCTAATAAATTTTCATAGAAAAGAAAGATAAAATATAAAAAATGATAAAATAGGAAGAAAAAGTGATAGATATTATATATATATATATATATTTATTGTAATAGGAAAATCATAATAAAAATACAAAGAAAAATTAAGGTGTAAGTGAGTTGTAAAAGGAGTGTATGCTTAATTACCTTGAGAGCTTTCTAAAACTATGAGAAGAGGTTATCCGGTCATTTAAGGAATTAACAATAACTAGTTCAAGGTGGCAAATAGATGACCAAAAACCTACAAAATCCTAGTGCTTGGTGTGTCGGAAAGAACCAACAAATTACATGTCTCCGCTTTTGTTTGTCTTTTCTTATTCCTTCAGTTAGAAATTGACACTCAACAGCAAACTAAATAAATAACAAGCATGAGAGAGTGTTTATTAATTTTTTACCATAAAACATTTTCTGATTAGGGAGATAAAATAAGAGAGAGAGAGAGACCCAGAGAGAAAACAGAAGGAGGTTGATTTTCAATCCAATTCGCAAGTTAGAGGCAACGATAAATCAGATTTAAGTGAGTTCTTAAACAGTGATTGATTCCAATATTTCAGGGTTTTAGAGTTTAAAGAAACGCGGCTACAACGCTACACGATCAGAAATCAACACCAATATATGGCCTAAAATATTATTTAACACATCAGACATATATATAAAGGAAAAGGAAAGCCTACAAAACTTAACTGCAACCTAGCAGCTAATTAACCTCTCCTCAACGAAGAGAGAACTAGTTGTATCTATAAATAAGGAAACAAAAATTAGAACCAAAATAAAAAGAAAAATATTAACACTACTCTTAACTCACATCACAGTAATTTCGTCACGACCAAGCAAAAGCTTTGATGTGAGAGTTCGCCCATAATTCATTACAGGACACCTTTTATGTCCCCTATTTTTTTTTCTTCAAGCAATATCCATGCAACATATATATAGTTATATATATATATATATATATATATATTTATTTATTTATTTATTAGTACCAAACTAAAAAGGGTTTTATAATTAATTAATTATAATCCTTCTTAGGGGAAATTCCACAGGCTTGTCTCTTGTTCCATGTTTTCTGGGGTATTAGGTTCACCACCGATATCAAAAGGAGGAGGACTAAGCAGCATTCCCTCAGCCATATTGATGAGAACATTAGGCATGTCAAAGATCAAATCCTCATCCACAAACTGGTTACTACTCATCACTGCTGTTTGCTTCTCTTGCGCCGCTGAAACATTATTATCCTCTGCCTGCGTTCGCATGGCATCCTTAGCTGCTCCAGCAGCCGCCGCCGCCGCCGCCGCCGCCACCTGAATGTCATGCGCAGAGAGCGAAGCAGGAACAGGAAGAGAAGAAGCGGAGTCAGGGAAGTTGAGCTCAGCATTCTTACCTATGAATGAACAAATAAACCATCACATATAGGGTCACATTAGCAAAAAGATAATAAAAATCATACACCATTATCATCATAAATCACTTACCATATTTTCTACAAATTAGAAATAGCATCAATCTCATTCTTTTCTTTATCTTAAAATTTAGTTAATTAAGAAACAACATCTTTAAATATTTTATCAATAAATGTCGATAAAATATCAATAAAGTATCCAAAAGTATTAATATCAAACACAAATAAAGTATCTGAAAGTATCGATATATATCAAACACAGATGTTAAGACAAAGTAAAGTATTGTATACTTTGAATATTCGTATTGCACATAAATAATATTCATATCTATACCCTTGAGAGCTAATGCTGCGACATCATAGGCTACCGCGGCCATTTCAGGCGTAGGGAAGGTGCCTAACCAAATTCTGTTAGGTTTCTTGGGCTCACGGATTTCGGACACCCATTTGCCGTTTGCCCTACGCCTGACGCCGCGGTAGCAACCGGAAAAGCCTTTGCTGCTGCTGGGATGCATGGTGTGTTTGTGTGTGTTGTGTGTTGTGACTGAAATTGGATATTGAGGGAAGCCATTTATGGAGGTGTGAGAGTATGCGAGTATATTGAAGTGCAAACCAGTTGTTTCTGAATTGCGGCCTGTGAAGGGTTCGGCTGTAAGCCAGCTTGGCGTAGGGAAGGACGGACATCTGGGTTGGAGAGCGTGTTCTGTAACAGAATTATAAATTAAAAACACAAAAGATAAAGAGAAAACACTGGATTCAATTCAATTCGCTTAACTTATCCAATGTCAAATTCGTCAACAGTTAAATTGCACTTTCTCAATATTGTTATCTTTTCAAAATATAATATTTATATAAAATATCTATGCTTGCAAATAATAATTCATGTTTTTTGAATATTTACTTTTAAAAATAATAATTAATTTTTATTAGAGATGCTAAATACATAATATAAACATATTTCTTTTATAATATAATTTATTTCATATCTTATAAAAGTAAGATTCAAATTTTAAGATTCAACCTCTAAACAAGTTGATTAAGAATGGACAGATAACATCACTAAAATCTGTTTTCCCTTTCAATTATTTCCAACAAAGATTTTTGAACATCGGGGAGAACGTAAAACATGGATTTCTTCTTATTCATATAATGAGTAGTAGTGACATGTGTTCCGGACAGCACAAAGGAATATTACTGACGTGGGATTCTACGATGCCAAAATTTACAAGGACGAGGTTTATTGTATTCTTTTCTTCCTTCTCTCCTTGTCTTTTCGCCATGTTTTAGTCTCCAACCAATTAATTAGGTAGGGTTTTGTGATGTTGCCGCAACTGATTCATGAGCATTCATTTAGAGACAACACAGTATAGTACTAGTTTTGTTTTGTCAGCAACTTGGAAATCAATTGCAAATAATTAGCTTCATCACAAATTAATGAAGTTATTATGTATGGTGTAAGTTTGTCTGCCTCTTGGACTCTAAAATTAATCTGAATTATTAACTAAATACGCACGAAACCTCCGAGTATGCATATATTTATCACTGGTTTGCAATAGGCAGAAAACTGAAGGACTGTGTTATTAGGTGCTGGACAACACGTACGCCATTGCGTATGTCTTGATTTTAGGGATTTTCTACGTTTGATTTGATTTTTATTTTATATCTTCCTCTAATTACAAACCCATCATTTATAATAAGTTGTTAATTTTTATAAACAAATAAATAAATATATCAATGATAATAGCTAATTAGCTGGTAGTATATTTGAATATTAAACTCTTACATACTAATTTTACACTTTGTATGTTCACATCCTTTTCTTTTTGTGGTCTAGTAACAACAGACATGGATTTTTGTTGCTGAAAATGATAGGAGAAGGAAATTAATGAAATTTTTAACTATCTTTGAAGAAACAAATGTGGATCCGTTCAATGGATCGTGAGCTAGAATAGACCGTCTTAAAGCTTTTTAACAAATTGTCATTCGGTTACTGTAAATTAGTTTACCTCCAATTGATTGTGGGGATTGAGAAAACAATTCAAATTTATTTTCAAATTCAAATCTCTAAGATAGTATTTAGATTTTAAAAGATATTAATTTTTTTAAGATATTATTCAGAATTAAAATATATTATATTTATTTTAGAGATTTGTTTCCTCTTTTAAGATTTGATGTAAAGTCAATAAATAGAGACTCTTGAGATGAGAAGAATCACCTAACAAGTAGAGGGGGTCACCGCCTTAAATGAGAGAGAATGTCATATGAAGGAGGGTTTCCAAGTTTCGTCAGAAAACTTGTGAATAGAGGTTTTCAAGTTTCGCCAGAAAACTTGTGAGAAGGGGGTTTCCAAGTTTAATCCACAAAACTTGAAGGGACAAGGATTTTCATATATATGTAATACATTTTGAGATAAATAATAAACATCCTTGTGGACATAGGCATGAGGGGTTGAACCACGTTAAACAAATTTGTGTGATCTTTTCCAATTTCTTTTATGGTGTTATTTTAATAAGTTTTTCGTCATCATTATTGTGCGTAAAAGAAAAGAAGATTTTTTGTTCCCAACAAGTGGAATCAGAGTCAATGGTTATATCAGGTGACAAATAGACTTGACAAGTATGATGGTTGGCAGGTGGATTCAAGTTTGGGATCCCTTGTGTCGGAAGTCTTTCTAACAATGGAGGGTTAGGAGGCGTGTCTCGCTGCTGTGAGGTCACAATGAAGTGGCGGTGCAAACACTTAGAGCGTGAGTGAGCTTTATGGGCATACTCGTGGATCAATAGTTCACTACAAGAAAAATGCTAATTTCTGACGAAAATTTTTGACGGAAAAGGGTCAATTTTTGACGGAAAAGGGTCAATTTCTGACGGATTTTATTTTTTCTGACGGATTCCATCGGAAAAAGTGGCGTCGGAAAAAAAAATCCGTCAGAAATTGACCCTTTTTCGTCAGAAATTTTCGACGAAATTTTCTGTCAGAAATTTTTCAGAAATTATATATATATTTTATTTTAATAAAATTTATTAATGTAACAGTACTCATATTTGACCTCTCAAGGGTTCTACTTCATGACATTTCACTTTTAGCGTGTTTTATCCTTACTTGCGCAATTTTTGGGAAACTTCCCAAAAGGTCACCCATCCTAATACAACCTCGCTTAGTTGATTAATCTGGACTGAACATGATTAAGTTCAGACAGATTATTTGTCGTGAACCGAGGATATCAGAGGTGCATTATGTTCAAGGGTCTGACCTATTTTAATTACTGCAATTAATTCACAACTTTGCTCTGTTTTATTTAATTTTGATAATCTGCTCAAACCCCCCAACTACGTGTTCGATCCTTTGACAGAAAGAACTAGTCCTTGGGAGTCTCTAGATGAGTTCACGCTGGGCGTGAAGAAAACCACGTCGAGCGCGATATCAGATAGTGGCCTTGTCTAGCAGGTTACTAATATGGCACCGAGCGCATGGTAGGTGCGTCGAGCGTGGAGACCTTTGGATGTTTCTGTCTAGATAGTGCCATGCGTAGGATGGGTGCGCCAGGTGTGTAGACTCCTATGAGTCTCTATCTTAAGGACGTCGGGCGCGAGTTGATTGCGCCGGGTGTGAATGAGCCTTAGAGCTCTCGGGTTAGATGTTAGGCCAGGCGTGAGTATGTTTAGTAATGTTGATTAAAAATGATGCTTATGCATGTTTAAAGTTGAAGATTTGATCATGTATGTATGATATATAATGTATGGTGGTATATGATTCATATGTATGCTTGGTAATGATATGTATGAATGTTTAAATATGATATGACATGTGTGTATGTTCATATGAGGATGATATTGATCATGATGGTGGATTGGCCATTGTATGATGTATGATGCATTATTGCATGTGATGTCTTATGGCATGTGTCTAGCCTAGGACTTGAGGAGAGGGAAAATGTTTTCAAATGGGAAAAGCTCACATAGAGTCTCTTGAGAGTGGTGCTTGGATAGGCCACTTATTTATATGAGGGTGGTGCTTAGATAGGCCATTGGCTTTTGGGTGAGAGTGGTGCTTGGATAGGCCACTGGTTTGGGTGAGTCTCCTCTGAGTCCTTAGCTAGTGTTGGAGCGGGGTATGAGGTCGAGGGTTAATATCAATGCATATCAATCATCTAATGCGTCGTCATGCATACACCTAGGAGATCTCCCTGATAGTAAAGTAGTATAAGTGACATCCCAATCCTACCGAAACCACCCCAACCGTTTTCATGCCCAATGTGCCTGCTCGGTCATAACTAATCAGGATATAAATCCTCACTCGAGTTTACTCGGATGATGTTACTTACACACTTGAAAGTTCGGTTCCACCTTCAAGTATAGCACAGCTGGGTATAGGCTTACCACGACTTTGGCATGCATTACCAAGTCACTTGTGGAGTTCGCCCACCGACTATCCGCAAGGAACCATGCACCTTTCCTAGTATTTGGTTAAGGGAATAACCCTCGACCTCATACCCCGCTCCAACACTAGCTAAGGACTCAGAGGAGGTGCCTGCTCGGTCATAACTAATCAGGATATAAATCCTCACTCGAGTTTACTCGGATGATGTTACTTACACACTTGAAAGTTCGGTTCCACCTTCAAGTATAGCACAGCTGGGTATAGGCTTACCACGACTTTGGCATGCATTACCAAGTCACTTGTGGAGTTCGCCCACCGACTATCCGCAAGGAACCATGCACCTTTCCTAGTATTTGGTTAAGGGAATAACCCTCGACCTCATACCCCGCTCCAACACTAGCTAAGGACTCAGAGGAGACTCACCCAAACCAGTGGCCTATCCAAGCACCACTCTCACCCAAAAGCCAATGGCCTATAAAAATAAAAATTCCAATTTTAGAAAATGAAAATAAGAATCAAAAATAAAATTAAAAATAAGAAACTAAAAATAAGAAATTTTTGACGGAAATATAAATCCGTCAGAAGTTTCAGACAGAAAAATAAATCCCTCGGCAATTTTTGACGGAAAATTTCCGATGGATTTATATTTCTCTCAGAAATTTTTGACGGAAAATTCTGCCAAAAATTTCTGGCAGAAATATAACTCCGTCAGAAATTTCCAACAGAAAATTTCTGATAGAAATTTTCCGTCAAAAATTTTTCGTCGAAAATTTGCATTTTTCTTGTAGTGGTTTCTACTGCAAAGAGAGGGATAAACCGTGCTCCTTTGTTTGAGGGAAAGATTGTTGGGAAACAAGCAAAGTCCCACATCATTCAAATAAGAGGATGGACATGGGTTTTATATATACACAATTGTCTCCATTGGTTAAGAGGCCTTTTGGGTGGTATCTGAAAGCAAAACCGTGAGGACTGGACCTAAAGCGGACAATATCTTACCAATGTGGAGACATGTATATGTGTGTGGTAACCCTCAATGCATAACAATTGGTTACGGAAGAAATGGAAAGCAATGTGAATATATCTTTGAAGTGTTTCTTTTAACACCCAGGTGGATAGTATATACATTCATGAAAAATAGAGAAAAAGAAA